TATCACTTTTATCCATAGGGTATTTAATAGTGTATCACATGCCCGTAAATATACCTTCAGGACGTTCATTACACATAGATTTTTTTACAGATATTATTTAAATGTAAAACATAAATTTAAAGTAGCTTAAAAAATACTCACAAAAATTGCAACTTTTTTGAATGTATCATTATTTTATATACGTTTAATTTTAAATAATCACAATTTAACATAGAACCTTATAAAATAATCACTTAAAATGGTATGTATATGATCTGTAAAAATCTCTTAATTTTTTGCTCACAAAAGATTACTTTTCGATAAGTCTATTAAATTTTTATATAGATTTACAAGTTAATTTCAAATAAATTTAGAAAGAGAGGAGCAAGTATACATGAAAGAATTACGTGAGTACATCCACATGAGAAAAACGATTGCTAGCTTTGCTGCACACATTAGTGTTCCTCTCACTTATCTGAACTTTTTTCCCACTAACTATGTGAAGAACGTCCTTAAGTCAAAAAATCACTTCAGTCGTGAATAAAAAAAATTGTGAAAAAATAAAACCCAAAAAAAATCAATTGGTGTATTCTTACAGTGCAAAAAAAATTTTTTTTAATTTTTAGTAATTTTAAATAAATATAAAAAATTGTATAAAANTAATAATTAGGAAAGCTGTGCTGCTAAAATATACTGATGTATTAGTTTTTGAATAAAACAATCAACTAAAAAAGTTAGTTGATAATATCTTAGTAATATATTAAGCAAAGTCGCTAAAACTGTTGTAATCGCACTATGAAGTACATAACAACTATGAAGAAGAAATGAACTTGGGCAACCATGACAGTTTCCAGTAGGCAACTTTTTTTTAGACTTGGTCAATAGAAAAACAAACAAAACTCATAAAATTTGAAATGTGTTGTGTTGTGGCGTAGCATTATGTAGCGTAGAGGGGACCGTAAGCACGTCATGGGGAACGAGGGAAGGAGGAAAAATCAAGCAAAATCCACTTTCATCACACTTTTTATTAGGACCACCAATCTGAAATCATTGATTTACCCTCACGCATAACGCGCCTATAGAAGTATAACTTTGAAAAGAAAAGAAAAAGAAAGAATAAGAAGAAACGTTTAAAGAAAACTGGAGAAAATAATTAAAAGTAGTCAAACTCACATTAAAATATAACATATTCCAAATTGACCATGTTAGCTCCAGTTTCTGCCGGCTGTAATATAACTGACAGATTAAGCGAAGCTTATTTGCCCTGCAAAGGGTTCTGCTCATAGAGCGTCAAAACTCTCCGTGTATGGAGAGATCGGTGATTTTCGTACTTTGATGACTGAGGAAAATTATCTTAAAAGAAGATTGACAAAGTAATTTTCATAATCGTTTGAACATTAAGTGAAGATAATGTTAAAAAAGACTTTGGAAAAAAAAAAAGACTTACCGATTACTGCCTAGTTTTTATTATAAGCTAATAAAAGTATTGGTTTATTGCAAAAACAGTTGTCTATCAGTTGCCTCGGAAAAACTTCGTTGGTTTGATAAACTGGTCGCGTTCTTGCCATTGTAATATTAATATCTAACTGAATGGTTCAGATTACTGTTTCTGAATGATGGATATCAAAGAGCTACTCAGCTTTTCTTAACCTTAAAAGAACTACTTCCATCCAATAAGAAAACAACCGGGTTGTAAAAGGATACAAGTGCAATACGAAAATAGCAGAGTTAAAAGAAGATACAAGTGCAATACTTGCCCCCGCAGTCTCCTTCCTTCAAATACGTGCAAAATATGCAGAACTATGTTTCGTACCTTTGGTATGTGCAAAAACCCTTTCCCGTGGTCTCATGCATACAGGTAATTTTTCGCATGTGTGAATTTTTTCTTCTAATATAGGGTTTTCAAATTTTCTCTTTCTTGACCTTAATTTTAAATCATAGCTAGTAAATCACGCGAGAAGGCAACAACTTGAGGTGGTATTCACACGGCCGGGAATCATCCTCCAACAAAATAATGTACTTTTAGTTTATAATTAATTAAGCCCTGCTCTTTCTCACCCTCATGATTTTTTTTTTTTTTTTTAAATGTCTTATCTATCACTTTACCCGCAGAAATGACGGCAAAAGTTCTATTTTAACTCTCTCCGCAGCAATGATGTTAAAAGTTCTTTTAATTTTTTTTTTCTTAATTGAAATGAAAAAAAAATTTTTACTAGAAATAATTTCAGTTTTTATGAACGTAATATTATTTTACAGCACAAAAAAATGGTTAAAAAAACTGTAACGGGTGACATCTCGAGGTATAACGAACGGCTTTTTCGTCGTGTATTAAACAATTTTACAAGAGAATGTAAAGAAAAGTCAGTGATTATAGACCCTATGAGTAGTAATATCATCGTGGCGACGTTTTCGATTAGAACAGCACTGACGACTCACTCTACTAACATTACGAATTAAACGTATGTCTTACATTTATTATAACTGTACACTAAAAAAAGTAACTACAAACCAACGTTCATGAGGATAATGCTTGCGATTGATATCACCACGACGATGTATTCATGTGGAGCAGCATCAGCGATCGAGGCCGAGGACAGCAGCAGCAGCGATCAAGAGCAGCACCGATACTCTATAATTATTATCAAATGAACGTATGCATTACGTTTGTTTCAACAGTTCATTAAAAAAAATATATACAAGCACACATACAAGAGTATGATGCTCGCACTTCAAATCACCACGATGACATTTTCGAGTCGAACAGCAGCAGCCATCGAGGTTGATGAAAGCATCAGCAACAATGAAAAGCGGTGCTAACAATACTCTATACAAACATCATAAAATAAACGTACGCATTACGTTTTTTTTAACTCTTCACAAAAAAAAAAAAAAAAATCAATACGAGCACACGTACTAGAAGATAATGCTGGCACTTTATATCACCATGTCGTTGGTAGCAGCAGCAATCGAAGCTGATGATAGCATCAGCAATTAAGAGCAGCACTGACGACACACTCTACGAACATCATGAAATAAACGTACGCATTAAAATTTACTACAACTCTTCCCTAAAAAAAAATAAATTTAATTACCCGTACTAGAGGATGATGCTTGCACTTGACATCACCATGATGTGATTTGGTTTAAAAGTCTAAAGTATTGATTCAACGAACGTATATCTTTAGTATTACTTTAGCTTATTACAATGAAGCCTAAAAATCTATATATGCTTTATACGATGTAAAGGAAAGTTCTGAGATACTTAAATTTTTCTATCTAATTGACGTAGTCAATTTTATTGTATGGCTAAATAATGATCATTTTTTGAAGAAAGTTTTTAACAGAAAATAAAAAATCGTATTTTCAATTTTTTTCGCGAGTGTTTAATTGATCAACTTGAAAAAAGGCTTGATTTATTCCTTGAAATATAGAGAGTCGTCTACATTTATTTTTGCGAGTTAATAGCCATTCAACGTTTGAAAGCAATATACACTACTAAAACAAAGTAGTGGATGAATCGGGAAATTTCATGTATTCCTCCGATTGAGTATTGTTTGTTGTTGATTGATTGATAACTTGCAGAGAAAAATGGAAAATACGATTTTCTTTCACAAATCGAAAATTGCATTTTTCAATTTTCTCCGAAAATTTCTATTTCATTAACTTTTATCAAAGCTTGATGTATTTTTCTAAATATAATGAATTGTTGTTAACTCCTTTTTTTTGACTAAATAGCTAGTTATTTAATAAAAAATTTTTTGTAGCTATAAAATTAAATTGACCTTTTCAATAAGTTCAAAAACCTTTATAACCTAGACTAATCCTAAGAAAATTAAAAATTTCGACTTGAACATGAAATTGTAGGACATTGATGACGATTATAAAGAATTGTAAGCAGTAGGACATAGTGGCTAGTGAGTCATACGTACTAGATGGATGTAGTATTATAAAATAAAGTGTCTTGCGTATACAGCTCTGTAAAATATGATTAAAAAAAAAAATTTATTGAAAAAATGACTCATAGAAAAATAAATCGAAATTGTGTTATAATTTATTTTCCTTAAAAGAAAAATTCAGCTTTTATTTTCTTAAAAATTCCTTTTCATGTAAAATTTTTGTGTTGTGTTTGCATCTGATGTGCTGTATATGCGATAGACTGCAGTATGCATGGCAGGTGCTGATGGTTGTGCTGTTGTGTATTCGTTGAAAGTAAATGTGTTAGAAAAGTTTAATCTGTTTTACATTTTCTATCATCTCTTTTTTCCACTGCTGGGTGCTTCATTTTATAACATGGCTGTAGTGAAGCCTTAACTATGCTCCTGTTACAGTCTATACATAGTTTTACATCGTGGCCTATCAGTATTAATCTTTATGTGTTAGCTTACAATAGGAGAAGGTCCTAGTTAAAAACTTTGAAAAAATTTATAAGTATCACTGAGTTAGATTTAAGCCCTCGCTCCTCAAGATCTACTATACTTGCGTCTTGTCCGAATGAGCTATGATGGTCTCTGCTAAAACTAGTGTAAACTTAGAGTAATTGTAGCAGTTAAAATGGAATTTATATTGTATTATACTAAAAAGAACACATTAATCAGATTTTAGCTAAAAATATTACGATTTGAATTCAAAATAGTTTTATCTAGCCAACATAATTATAACCATCTTAAAAATATCAAAATCATGACTAACCATCTTAAAATTGGTAGGTTTTCTATTACTTAATTTATAGAATGTAGGCGCTAAAACATCAAGCAAAATTTTTATGTTACGTTCTTTACAGTTATGCACTACCAATTGAGTAAGCTCATGACTGTTTTAAACACGATTTACTGTGCTGTTTTTTTTAAAGTTTATTATAGTTATGTTCGCCAAGATACACTAAAGCTAACATACTACCAAACTTAGTGTCAGGTATATAATGTGTATTGCCTGAATACACATAATCATTTATCCAATAATACATGATGTCATGGTTCAATGTGTAAAAATTATTTTATTTTTAACTATTGTATACATTACAGATAATTGGGAAAGAACAAGTCACCCTCTTATGAAAATAGAATACGGCAAGTGGGAATTGAATTTACCGTCCAATCCGAATGGAAGCTGTAAGCTTGAACATTTATCGGAAGTGAAAATCATCATTGAGACAAAAACAGGACAATACGTTGAAAGGCTAAGTCCCTGGGCTACCTACGTAACACAGTCAACAGAGGATACTGTATACAAACAAAAAATATGGAATCCAAAACTTGAAGACGTAGATACACGTTAGCTTTCTTTAATAAATATAATTATGGTCCCTGATTAAGACTATAAATTTTTACAGGTATATTCTTTTAAATTTCCAAAACCAAAAAAACCAACAAGCCTCCGTATATATGAATGTCATGTAGGTATTGCGACTCAACAGATGCGTATCGGTACTTACACGGAATTTGCTGATACCGTTATACCGCGTATAGTAAATCAAGGATATAATGCAATCCAGCTTATGGCTATCATGGAACATGCTTATTATGCCTCTTTTGGATACCAAGTATGCATCAATGTAGCATATACAATTACTTACATATAACTACTTTTCTAAAAAAACAATATTTTTAAAAATTTTTTTTGTGATAATTTTTTTTGCAAAATTTTACTTTAAGAACAAGTCTCTTTAATAATATAAAACTTACTCACTTATTGTTATATATTTATCATGAGTCCAGCTATAATACTATTTTTATGGTGATGTACCTAATTTCTTACAATTTTAAGCATAATTGTTTGCTCAAAGTTTCAAGTATGGCATACAATATTACTAATATTAAACGATTTTATAAAAAATTATTTCTAGACTGATTGACTTTATTTTAAGTATATCTCATTAGTTCCATAGACGAAATTATAGATCTCCTAATTCTAAAAATTTGTAAATTTAACAAAACTTAACTTTTTTTAATGAATTGCGTATGCAACAATTTTTATACAATTCCAATGTATCATGCTTTATATGTTTAATGTATAATAATAAATTATGAATATGAGTTAGATTTTATTGTCTCGGTAAGCCATCGATTTCCAAATTTAAATTTAAAAAACTAGCACTTCCTTTAATGGAACGACAATTACTGAAATTTTAATCATATTAACATTATTTCCTGAAATACTTAAACTTTTATGTGGTGTTGCCCGTTTTCAACATCTTTTAGATGGATCATACAAATTTCAGTCAACTAATCTTCTTTGCATATATTTAGCTCAGAATTGGTTCTCAAAGCTTTTTTTTGTTAAAATTTTTTACCTTTATTATGTTGTACTTTTGCTGTAATTTTTCCATTTTTTTCATGAGCATAGTTATCTTGCTTAAGACGATTTAAACGTATTTAAAATTAATAATTAGACAAAAACCTTCTCTCCTAATTTGTAATAACTTTAGAAATTTTTCTTTTTTGAAAATACTTGATTAATTTTAACACAATTTTCCAGGCATAATATATACTGTTTGAAAAAGTACACTATGTAATTTTAAATTAATAACTCTTTTACTAAAAAATTTGTTGAAAGTGTTTAATAAGAGTCATTTGCATTGTCTATGTATCCTATACAATGCAGCTCTCGTTATTATGCAGCCCAAGCTAAAATTACGAGTTGTTTTTCTACCATGTAATAGCTTGAAATATTGATTTATTTTGTATAAGCAGACATTTATTTCAAACTAATATCAATTTTATAAAAAGTTTCAACTATTTTTGAATGTGTATAACATATTAAAGACAAGAAAGCGTAACCTCTTACCAAAAAACTTCTTGAGTATTGTCTTTGCACTTATAACATTCTATACTTTTACAAAATTATCACTTTAATCCAAATTTAAACTCGCTCGTGTACCCACTGCCCAAAAATAACTTCTCTGTTTATGTTGCTGCATTTAACTTATATATAGAAGCTGTGGACTGTCACAACAACGTGTGATCGCAGCTTACGTCACGGTACGAGTGGTAAGCCATTACGCTGTAAGACAAATGATAAAAGTCATTTTAACGTTGTAATCAGTCTAGGAAGCAGGGTAAGATCCTTAAATTGTTTGCATTGTGAAGTATTCAAACAATACAATACTATTTTTCTTGCTATTTTTCTGACTAAGTATTTAAATTTAATTTTTAGAATTAGTATATTTTGTGTTGCATAAATATATCTTCCTTTTTTATTCATAATTATCTTGATAAATACGTAAATATCTTTTTTTATAAGCTTGTTTTTCCAATTAGTTGTATCTCATAAAAAATAGTAATTTTTGTTGTCGATTTTTCAAATAACGTATCAGGCATTGTATAATAATAAGTATTGCTAATAGGTTCGTTTTTACGTTTTGGAATAACTTACATCGATAAGAACGATAATTAAAAACGGTTATTACTACACAGTAAGCAATTGTAGAAAATTTTAACCGTAAAAGGAAAAAGAAGAAAGAAAGAAACCCAGTAAACAGTAGGTGCTCGAGAACCCAAGTATAAAGCTTTACTTATATCAAATTTTATGGCTAATAATATATTAATATATATATACCTTGTATGAAACAATATTGTATGCGGAGGTGGTGGATTATCTTTGAAATGGGTATACATAGTTTGATGCGGTTTCAATTAATATTTTAATATTAAATAAACGACAATAAAAATTTGTAAAGGATTCTGTTTTTAAAGGAAGTGTTCATGCTAATAATATTTCTAACGTCATGCTCTTACCCGTCATGAGTTCACACCCTTATTCTTAGTTGCATAAATGATATCCACAATAAATATTGAAAATAAGGGCTAGGAAATACTTATATTTTTGGTACAAAAATACTACATGTTATTTTAGTGCCACATATTGTTGCTAAACTGATGTCAAATTCGACATTGATTTTATGTGCAAAGTAGGAATAGCTGACATCAGGTGCTACGAGAATTGAGCACGGCTGTTTCGAATCAGGCGTGCTCGAAAAAGTATCGATATCTTGAATCTGTGGTCGCACAAAAAGTTATGACCAACGAATTTGGGGTAGCTTGGCTAGGTAAGACGAATTATGGCATTAATTTTTTTTCAGTCTATACACTTAAACTTTATTGTATTATATTATCGCTACTGTTTTTTATCAATTATTATGGTTTTTACTAAATTTTTAATGTTATCAAAGCTCTTTTGTACAACTTTGTACATTGTCATTCATAAATATAAAACTTAAGTGCAATAATTAATCAACTACGTTTCCGCAACTTTACCGACGAATAAAAAAAACCCTGTTGGATTTTAGGTTCGTTATTAATACATACGGAGACGAACCTAAATCCGTCAAACTATTTCGGTTGATATTTTTTTAAACGCCCTTCCAATCGACTCCTTCTCCCGGTCTAATTTTTATTACTGGTAAATGAAAGACTATTGCCTACATTATGTGAATTTTTACAAATCTTGGTATTTCCATTACTTACAGCAGGGTGCAGTAGGGATGGTCAAACTATATCGATACATCGGAAACGCCGATATTTTTTAGCAGATGCATCAATATATTTAAGCAAATAGTTAAGTAACATTAACCGTCTTTGGCTTCACCTCGGACGTCTATTTATGTGAAATCTGCGGCATTTTTAACCTCACTCACTAGGTGCGTAGTGCACTAAAACAATATTATAATAATGATGGTAGAGTGTTGCAGAGTTTACAATTATTTTTTTAGTATATTCGGCCATCTATTAGTTTTTATTCGTGGGCAAATGAAGAAATAAAAGCATTGACGACGAGCTCTGAAGACTCGGAATCTGAACCAGTGATGAAACAACCCTCACAAAAACGAAAACAACAACTTTGGATTACTTGGAGCGGAGTGCGAGCTTTGAAGGCGATTGCTACTCTTTTAAGCGATTAGATAGAACTACTGGCTTAAACTTTCACTTCATTTTTTATTTTTTTTTTCTTGTAGGTGGAGAAAAGCACGGAAGTATTACACAGGCCCTAATCTGTATGATTTGTAAAGACAACATACCGTATTCATGTGTTGAAAAGCAGAGTATGACAAGATTTATACGTGCCGCATGTCCTCTCTATAAACTGCCATCAAGACAAAAGAAATCTCACTAGTTCCATAAAAATAGTTATTTACGTAACAAGTGCGGAAAAGACGATTACCCGCACGAGTCGTGATT